GAGGGAGGTGACTAAATCTTGGTCAGACACTTGACTTGTTTAAACGGAACTCGGTCCAGCTAGTTTCCTCCGATAAAATACATTTCAGCAGAGTTACCTCAAGAATTCCTTAATACCTAATCCTTTTTGTAAACAAGGCATTGAATAAATGTGGTTGCTCACCCCTCTGAAAAAGACCTTTAGTAAGTGGCATTCTCATTTTTCCCTGGCAGATCTGTTTTACTTCTTCCAAAGGGCTGACATTAATAACCACTGCCTTCAACTCCCACCCCCTCCACACAATTCCACATTAAAACCTCCCACATGTCAATGTTCCAATGTGAGAACCGTGTCTATGCCACGGTTCAGAAGCTGGAACCTGTAATCTCCATGGGCTGCATTTTCTCAGTCACTGGAGAGCAAGGCTGGGGTATGATCCCGGCTCTACCACACTGTCTACTTGCTCTGGCTGGTTACTTCTCTGAATGTCAGTTTCATCTGTGAGATGAGCTGCCTTGCGGCCCCTTCATTCATTCGGTCATCCTACAAATATGTGTACCAGAGATGATCACGAGAGGCCAGGTCTCTGTTCTGCAAACGATCAGTGTGGGCACCAGGCAGTGAAACAGAATTGCAGCCCAGCCCATGTGGGCAGCACGGCCATGGCGGTGGGGCCGGGTGGGGGAGTTCTGGAGCCATCTGAGGGTGACTTACACTCAACATTCCTGCAGCCCTCCAGGCACAATGCAGGGAACGCCCTTTGCTTCAGAATGGGTGAATGATGAGTCACCCTTGAGAACCCGGGGAAGTGGAGTAGGCTGGGGACTAAGGGCCACCAGACTCCTTACTGGTCTCTGGGGTCAAGTCACAAGTTCCTTGGGAGGCATTTGTTAGAGAGGGCCATTGGGGAGGGGAGGAGAGAAGTTAGACTGCTATGCAGTCCCCAAAACAGCCTCAACCTACCCCTTCAGGAAGTTCTGAAGTTGAGGAGATCCCAAAGAACTGTCCCCAGCTGGGATGAGGAGGCTGGAGTTTTAGACCCTAACGAGGCTCAGGCACTGGAAGTGGTCTGCTCCCCAGGGAGGGGGAATGACCCTGCGTTTCAGAGGTGGGGACATGGGTTTGGCGCATATCTACTTGGAAGCCTTCTCTTGTCTCCATACCCCTCCCTTCTTCTCTCAGCCCCTCTCACCTTCCCAAATAGATCTGAGAAAAGGAGCCTAATGTGACCAGGGAAGTTTTAGGAAGAGGCAAAGTAGAAACTTGAGACCTGACAAAGGAGCAGAAATCAATTGGGGAGGAAGAGGGAAAAATTTCTGGGCTGAGGGATGGACATGTGCCAGGGCCGAGCAGCAAGAAAGGGAGGGGAAGAAGGGTGGAGGAGGGAGAGGGAGAGGTGTTTCTCACTTCAGGATAACCGAAAATAGGGGTCACTGGACTTGGGGTCCAGTCCTGACTTTGCCAAGGGCTCAGAAGTTACTCAAACTCTCCCAACACCCAAGCTTAAAATATTGAATCTGGCATCCCGTGTGTAGGCAAACAGATACTTAGTATTTTTCCTTTCTCTAAACCATTGGTGACATACCACACACTGTCTACTGGACTGTGCTTTTAAAAATTTCTATCTATGGGACACCTGGGTGGCTCAGTTGGTTAAGCATCTGCTTTCCACTCAGGTCACGATCCCCGGGTCCTGGGATCAAGTCTTGTATCAGGCTCCCTGCTCTGTGGGGAATCTGCTTCTCTCTCTCTCTCTCTCCTGCACACTTGTGCTCTCTCTCTCCCTCACTCTCTCTCCCTAAAATAAATAAAAAATCTTTTATAAAATTTCTCTCTGTGCATATTGCTGATAATTACATATGCATATGTTTAGAACTCACTCTTCTTTTGAATGTTTGTGTCTCTTAGGACTGTATCTTAATTTACTTAACTGGTTTCTCTACTGATATTGGTATTTCTGAGAACTTTGGAAAAGTCAAGTTGATTGAGGTATCCATGCAATAAAGTTCATTCTTCCAAGTGGACAGCTCTATGAATTTTGATCAATGCATGCAATCACGTAGTCAGACCCAAGATGTAGAACAGTTCCACGACTCCAAAAATCTTCTTAGTGCATCCTTATGGACAGTCCCCCTCATTATCCCAGCCCCTGGTAGCCACTGATGAGCTTTCCATGCATTTTCCAAAGAGACTTTGCCTTTTCCAAAATATTACGTAAGTGGAATCCTACATGATGTGGCTTTTTGGGTCTTGTTTCTTTCACCAAGCACAATGCATTTGAGAGTCATCTGTGCTGTTGCCTCTATCAGTGGCTAACTCCTTTTAATTATCCCCTGGTACAGATAAAACACCACAGCTAATTTATATCCATTCACCAGTTGGAAAACATTAGGTCATTTCCAGGTGGGGCAATTATGAATAAATCTGCTCCCATTTCATCCTGGCTTTGGGTAGAGGTAAGTTCTTATTTCTCCTGGGTTAACACCTGGGAGTGGGATTACGGAGTTGTTCGTTGAGTTTTTTTTTTTTTTTTTTTTTAAAGATTTTTTTAATTTATTTATTTGACAGAGAGATCACAAGCAGGCAGAGAGGCAGGCAGAGAGAGGGGAGGAAGCAGGCTCCCCTAGAGAGCAGAGAGCCCGATGCGGGGCTCGATCCCAGGACTCTGAGATCATGACCTGAGCCGAAGGCAGCGGCTTAACCCACTGAGCCACCCAGGCGCCCCTGTTCGTTGAGTTTTTGTTTGGCTTAATCAGCACCAGCCAAACCGATTTCCAAAGTGACTCTACCAATTTGTTCTTCTACCAGCAGTGAATGTATACTCACCAGCTTCTGTTATGGTCACAGTCACTTGTTTTTGTATTTTGTTCATTCTGATGGGCACATGTAGATTTTATCTACTATAAACAGTGTTACAGTGAATATTCTTATGTACATATCCTTGGTGATTAAATGTGAGTGTATCCATAAGATACGTTCTTAGAACTGGAATTGGTGGGTCGTAGCATGTGAAAGGTTGATTAGATATTGCCAAAAACCCTTCCAAGAAGGTGGGGCCAATATACACACATACCAGGAAGGAAGGGTAATGCCTGTTTCCCCACATCCTCACCAACACAGCGTATGAGGTGATTGTTGTGTGAGCTGTTGGTGAGGACTTGAAGTAAAACATTAGAGCAATGCCTGTCATCCACAGAGTGGCAAATAATGTAATTACCAATACGAATCTATCAATCACACTATTATATGCCTCTTTCTCTGAGTTCCTCATTGGTATATCCATGAGTGCTTTTCTCTGAGGAGCTCAAACATTCTACCTATGGAATTTGGTAAATCCTTATAAATCTTTTCAGATGTTGGCCAGCAGTTCAAGCTCTGTGGGGTTTACAGAAAAGGGAAGTGTGACAGAATAGGACCTTTCTAAGTTTACAGAACAGAGCTGTGTTCCACAAGGTCAGAATTAATCTCCTTTGGAATGCAAATGGACTCCTCTAGGTTACAATGGCTTTCAAATTATTTTTTTCCACTGCTACACTTTGAGAAATACACCAAGAATCACGACGCACGGGGCGCCTGGGTGGCTCAGTGGGTTAAGCCGCTGCCTTTGGCTCAGGTCATGATCCCAGGTCCTGGGTTCAAGCCCCGCATCGGGCTTTCTGCTCAGCAGGGAGCCTGCTTCCTCCTCTCTCTCTGCCTGCCTCTCTGCCTGCTTGTGATTTCTCTCTGTCAAATAAATAAATAAAATCTTAAAAAAAAAAAAAAAGAATCACGACGCACATTCATACCCAAAACAAAAGTTTCAAAAATATCCCCAATACTTATTTGTTTTCTATTTGTTCCATTCCATTTCGCTGAAAATAGTTTCACTGGGAGCCACTGATATATAGATATCAAAACCTACTACCGGTTAAGACTAGCAGTTTAAAGGGCATGGTTCTAGGATCTAGGTCATAGATATTGGTCTTCCTGGCAATGGAAGGAATCACAGAACTGGATTCCTAAATGGAAGCACTGAACTTCACACCCCGCTTAGGGTAGATTATTCCCATTTTCTTCTTCATTCCCTTGGGCTGGTAGAGTTTACTCGTTCCTCAATTATTCACAAGTAACTTTTGGACTCCCGAGGTGCTCTACCCATCATTAAGGGCCAGTGATAGAGAACAGGTTTTGAAAGAGCAAGAGGCCTGGATTCAAATCTCACCTGCACCCTTTGCTGGTGATCTTGGTTAAGCCTCATCAGTCATTAAAGACTCCGTTTCCTCTTCTATGAACCGGAGTCAGAGAAATCAGTGAGCCAGCGTGGGTAAAGCTAATCAGCACAGCGTCGGGATCCGAGTAAGTCCCTAATACAGTGGTTCTCAAGGTGTGATCCCCAGACCAGCAGCACCAGCATCCCTGGAGAACTTGTTAGAAAAGCAGCTCTGAAGGGACACCTGGGTGGCTCAGTGGGTTAAGCTGCTGCTTTCAGCTCAGGTCATGATCCCAGATTCCTGGGATCACGTCCCGCCTCGAGCTCCTTGCTTGGCAGGGAGCCTGCTCCTCTCTCTGCCTCTGCCTGCTTGTGCGCTAGCTCTCTCCCTCTCTCTCTGACAAATAAATAAATAAAATCTTTAAAAGAAAAGCAGTTCTGGGATCTCACCCCGGATTGACTAAATCAGAAACCCCAGCGGTGGCGCCCTGCGATCTGTTTTAGCAAGTCTTCCAGGGGATACTGAGACAGCTCAAGTTTGAGAACCACAGGCTTAATACACGGTAACCATTGACAATTAGTTCCTGAGGCTGCAGAGCGAGCACCGGGCAGGAAGGATTAATAAAGTTAAGCACTAAAGTGCCTACAGCACTCACTGAAGAGGGTTCTAACCTGCCTCAATCCGGGTTCCTCCCCACTCCTCCCTGAGCACCTACAGAGCTCGCTGATTGGTCAAATCCCTCCTGACAGTCACCAGCCACCCAACCCGGGAGAGCGAAAACTGAACGGGGCGGGACCGAGTGCTGCAAGGGCGGCGCACCTATTGGCCCCCGGAGCTGCGCGTGCGCACTGATGAGGCGCGACCCTGAGGGCGGTTGAAAGATGGCGACTGTCGCCGAGCTGAAGGCCGGTGAGTGGCAGTGGAAAGCTGGCCGAGTAAGAGGCGTCTGACCTTCCGCCTGTGAAAAGGATGGAACGAGCGGAACACAGAGTCAGCCTCTTTGGGGTCGTTCTGCGGCGTCAGGGCTCGCAGAGAGTCTGGCTGGTGTAGCCGCCGATGCGTCCGGGCCTTGGTTGAGGGAAGCGGTCGCACAGGGGCCGTTCAGTTTTGGAACCAGCTTTGAGCTGGAAGAGGAGCGGCAGGACCCTTAGGTTCCCGAGAGGTCTATAGGCCTGCACTTTGGGCCTCTGGCGCATTTGTCGGACCCCGCTCGAGCCGAGGCTTTGGGCCGCAGCTTTCATTTGGGACTGAGGTTAACAATATCCGTATCCATGATTGGGTTTAGATGCAACTCCTAAGCTATTTGCTTACTTGTCTCACGGAATCCTTATAACAACCTTTGGGGTAGGACCCGATCTCCATTGGGAAAATCGGGAGGTAGAAAGTTTCCTGGCTTGGCTCTTCTCCTCTGTTTTTCACCAAATTCCACAAAGGTGCGAGTCCTCATCAAACGGGTAACGGGTTTGTGCACTGGTGGTTTTGACGCAAATATCCAGGCAAATAATAGTAATTATAGTTCTAAGTGGCTTAGCCTTTAATGTCAGACACGGCCCAGCCCCTCTGCCACCTATTAGTCTCGGGACAACCTTATGCCCGTTTCATAGATGGGGAAATTGAGGTGCATAGAGGTGACACAACTCACCCAAAGTAACTTAGCTAAAAGGAGGAGTGCGCGAGAACCTGGGTAGGCTGCACCGAACTCCAGGTCTCACTCCCTGGGTGATGCTGCTGCCTGTTTATTAAAACCAGTTCCCGTTCTCGGGGACCTTGCACTCCAAACCAGGAATCGTTAAAGATCTGGCAGAGAGGGGCTGGATCTCTTTGAGAATAGGATTCAGTAAGCATTGCTACAAAATGTGTACGTGGGGCACTGGGCTGATGAACAGTCAGGAAAAAAAAAAAAAAAAAAAAAAAACATTCCTTTCTCCACAAGAACAGATTTTTCAGGTGAATTTGAGCACCGTGCCTGCATGAACTACATAACATGTGTAATACTGCGTCAGCTTCAGAGGATTTAATGATACTTCGAGATATGAGGCCAGGTGAAGCACTTTTTTTCTGAAGAAGTGGTTACGGTACAGAGTTTTAAGCATAATCAAAGGAAAGGGCAAAATGGTATGGAACCTGAAAAGAAAATGTAACTGGGCATGAAGAATGTCCTATGTAGGGGTGCTTGGGTGGCTCAGTTGTTGAGCGACTGCCTTCAGCTCAGGTTATGATCCCAGGGTCCTGGGATTGAGCTCCACATCGGGCTCCCTGCTTGGTGGCAAGCCTTCTCCCTCCCTACTTCCCCTGCTTGTGTTTCCTCTCGCTGTCTCTCTCTCTCTGTCAAATAAATAAATTAATTAAAAAAAAAAAAAAAAAGAAGAAGGTCCTACGTAGGGGTGTCTGGGTGGTTCAGTCGCTGGATGTCTGCTTTCAGCTCACATCCTGATCCAGAGTCCTGGGATCATCGGCTCCCTGCTCCATGGGAAGCCTGCTTCTCCCTCTTCCACTCCCTCATTCCTTCTCTCCAGGTGTCTCTCTGTCAAAAAAAAAAAAAAAGAAAAAAGAAAAGAATGTCCTACGCAGGTGTATCCCTTTGTTTTGCATTCCCTGGTTCTGAATATGGTTTGTGTTCAGCAAAACTCAGCGAAAATGTATATCCCACTCAATTATCTTACTACATTGTATGGCCTTTTACTCCCCAGCCCCCTTAGGGGGAATCGGGGAGGGGCGGAGAGGGAAAGACAATCTTGAGTAGGCTCCATGGGCACTCTGGAGCCTAGTGCTTGCTCGATCTCATCACCCTGAGATCGTGTCATGAGCCAAAATCAGGAGTCCGTAACCCACTGAGCCGCCCAGGTATCCCTGGGCTCTTACCTTATTAAAACATTTCACATTTTCCACCTCACTTGGTTTTGCCTCTGAGAGGTAGAACTCATTATGTTGGAGAGGGGAGCTGAGGCATGATGAGCTGGTGATGAGACAGGATAGGCTTCCTAACTCCCACTTCATTAATCGTCATTTCTCTGCGGAGTTTGAGGCTGTGCTGTGTGCAAATTCAGAGTAATTGGGACAGGATCCTGGCCAGCGACAAAAAATCTCTTCCATTTAATTTCCGAAGATAGAGTTAGAGAACCGGGGTTTGGTTATTATCCCAAGAATATGATAAGGCTGAACTTTCCTTTTATGGACCTGTTACAAAGTCTGATTGGTAACTGTACTCGCACACCTGTCAAAAAGGTTGGGGGGATGATTTAAAAACAAGGGGCAAGAAAGGTTAAAAGTTTAGTCTACTAAGTCGTACCTCTGTAATCCTATCACCCAGGTTTTTGTTGTATTGTAAAGCTTAAAGGGATTTTATGTTTATGCCTACTTGGGTAAGCTCCTTGGGCTCCGTGTATGAATTTTTTCTTTATTTTGGTGTACTTATTTGGTGCCTTTGGCAGGGTGCAGTACAATATTAAACTATGTTTATTACATCAGTAGTATACAGCACTATACTCTAATGCTCCCAGGTAGCATTTATGGAGCTCTTACTATGTTCTAGGCACCGTGGGTGAGATGTGTTGATTGGGTTAGTTATTTAGCCGTTAGGGACAATGTGAAAAAAGGAGGTTCCATACCACTGCACGGAATGATGCCAGTTCAGCTCTGTGCCCCTCACTGTCCATACTAGTATTTATAGTTAAATCTCATTATCACAACTGATTCTGTAATATAACCTTTGCTCATCAAGAGGAAGTTAGATTACATTCAGCGTATATATCCCTGATTCTTCAAGATGGCAGTGATAGAGCCACGTGTTAGATTTCTATCTAGGCTTACAGTTTCAAAATCCTACTGGTTTTGTTTTGTTTTTTAGAAAGTTAACTCATAAGTGTCTTTAAAAAATAAACAAAACCCAAAGAAACACCTTTTTGTTCAGAATGGGCCATTCCCCAAAGGTTTTCGGTATCAGAGGTTTTATTAAAAGACAACACATTCCTTCCTTTTATGGAAAGTACTTGTTACCTTTAATCATCTTTCTAGACCGGAAGGTTTTAGTGACACAGACCTGTCTGCAGTGATAAACGCTCTTGAAAATATAGGAGACAGGGTAAATTCAGGTCCCAGTAAGCCAAGTGTAATTCTTTGCTCCCTTTTCCTCCCTTACTGACGATGCCTACCAGACTATAGCTTCCCACAGTGATGATGCTGGAAAGATAAACTTGAATTTGCTTAACTATATTAAAATAGCAAGTCATTGCAACTTGAGAACTTTATTTTTTATCACAAACATGATGCTAATCAGATAACTTGCATTCAGCTCATTGTTTAGATCAAAGCAATGGCTATGAGGCCGTTTACTTTTTTTTTTTTTTACATTTTATTTATTCATTTGACAGAGATCACAGCAGGCAGAGAGGCAGGCAGAGAGAGAGGGGGAGGCAGGCTCCCTACTGAGCAGAGAGCCCAATGCCGGGGCTTGATCCCAGGGTCCTAAGATCATGACCTGAGCCAAAGGCAGAGGCTTAACCCACTGAGTCACCCAGGCACCCCCGACCATTTACCTTTTAAACATATTTCTTCAAAGTATGCCTGAAGGTGACCAAATTTAATCTAATTGAAGCATTAATGTTTTATGTTTAACAGTTTTAAAGGACACGTTGGAGAAGAGGGGGGTATTAGGGCATTTAAAAGCAAGGATCCGAGCTGAAGTTTTCAATGCCCTAGATGATGAAAGCGAACCCCGCCCGTCATTGTCTCATGAAAACCTTCTGATTAATGAACTAATTCGGGAGTATCTGGAATTCAACAAGTATAAGTACACAGCATCTGTCCTCATATCAGGTAAGAGGTTATTATTATTACTTGCCTGAAACAAAGTCTGCTTTTTCCCTTCCCTCACTTCTCAGAAAATATTGAGGCTGAAAATCTAATTCCGTTACCACACAGAGTCATCCAGGTGACTGGAACATAAAAATCTCCTGGTTTCCTTCCATAGTTTGAATACGTTCTCATGGGGCTTATGGTATTGTAAGGGAAAATAAATACCTAAACACTTAAACACTTACTTGGAAAAATCATCTGTATTTTCTGATACTAAGGATAAAAAGTTGTTTTTGTTTGCTGCCAGGTTTTTTCTGTGTAGATGGCTTAAAAATACAGTTTCAGAGGCTCAGTCAGTTAAGCATGTGACTCTTGATCTCTGGTCAGGTCTTGATCTCAGGGCCTTGGGTTTGAGCCCTGAGTTGGGCTCTGCGCCTAGCCTGAATCCTACTTAAAAAGCATTGGGAAGATAAACTCCAGACTCACTGTAATGTTAGGAGTGAGAGAAATGGTGTTGGGGGAGGAGGTGGGCAGTTAAAGAGACATTTATCTCTTATATTTTATTTCTGAAGAGAAAGTAAATAACTTTCTTGATAAGGAATGCACATTAATCAAGATAGACTTTCCTCTGGGCTAGGGGAGAGAAATAGGATTGGAAGGATTACTTTGTTTAAGGTTTCTTTTCTTTCTTTCTTTTTTTTTTTTTTAAATTTGAAGAGTTTATTTGTCAGAGAGAGAGAGAGAGAGAGAGTTGAGAGTGCACACAAGCAGGCAGAGCGGCAGGCAGAGGCAGAGAGAGAAGCAAGGCTCCCTGCTGAACAAGGAGCCTGATGCGGGCCTGGGATCATGACCGGAGCCGAAGGCAGGGGCTTAACCCACGGAGCCACCCAGGCGTCCCAGTTTAAGGTTTCATCTGTACTTTAAGACTATTCATTCCTCATCCAAAGGGGGAAAAAAAAAATAAAGAGACCATGAAGTAGATTTTGGAAGAGAGAATGAATTCTTTGTGATGTTGGACCTTTTCCACTTAATAGATTTTTAAATTAACATTCTATATCTTTTATTTAATATTAAGCACATATCTTAACTGAATGAAGACTGGTAAGTTTTAGTGGTTTAAGGATCATCAGTATCAGCCTCCACTTTCCTCATTTTGTTATAGATGGCTGTATAATACTGTTAACACTTAGAAACGAAGAAAATTTATGAAAATATAATGAATTAGGTCTTGGACCTGGGCTTCCCTAGAATGAAATGTAGTCACATTTGTCAAGTTTCATGTTAAGTGTCTTGGCTTTTTTTTTTTTAATAAGTGAGGTATAATTAACAATACAGGGGCGCCTGGGTGGCTCAGCCATTAAGCATCTGCCTTCGGTTCAGGTCACAGTCCCAGGGTCCTGTGATCACCCCGCGTCAGGCTCCCTGCTCGACGGCGAGAAGGCTGCTTCTCCTGGCTTGTGTTCCTTCTCTCACTGTGTCTCTCTCTCTGTCAAATAAATAAAATCTTTAAAACAAAACAAAAACCCAACAAGACAAAAACCTTTTTCGGTATGCAGTTCTGTGGATTTTACCAAATACGTATAGTTGTGTAACTGCCACCACACAATCGCTATAGAGAATATTTTTACCACCTCAGAACATTCTCTGTGCCCTGTTGTAGTCAACTTCTTCACCTACCCCAACCCCTAGCAACTGCTGATCTGTTTTTTTCTGTACCTATCATTTGCCTTTTCCAGAATGTCATATAAATGAGCCCATTCAGGATGTAGCCTTTTGAGTGCACTTCCTTTCGCTTAGCATAATGCATTTCAGATTCAGCTGTGTTGGGTTTTTTCCCCCTGAATAGCATTCCTTTGTGTGTCTGTGCCGATTTCTCTATTATCAGTCGATGGCCAGTTGTGTGTAGTTTTTTGGCAGTTACCAGTCAAGTGGCCACTAACATTCACCACAAGTTTTTGTGTGCAGGTAAGCTTTCTTGGGTAAAGAGCTAAGAGTGGGATTGCAGGTTATGAAGTACATGCTTACCTTTCTAAGAAGTGACTCAACTGTTTTCCAAAGTGGTTGTACCATTTTGCTCTCCTACTAGCAAAGCAAAGTATAAGTACAGTTGCCCTGTATCCTTGCCAGCGCTTCATGTTTGGGTAATTTTACTTTTAGAATTATTACCGCCAAGTGGTTATTGTTACTGTCCTGTGTTTAATTTGTAGGCTTCACAAAAAGACTTTTGAAGTCTAGTGTGCAGACACATATGTTCCCAACCAAAAATTGGGGGATTTAAAAAACGAATTTATGGGGATGTCTGGGTGGTTCAGTTGGTTGGACGACTGCCTTTGGCTCAGGTCATGATCCTGGAGTCCGGGATTGAGTCCCGCATTGGGCTTCCAGCTCCACGGGGAGTCTGCTTCTCTCTCTGACCTTCTCCTCGCTCATGCTCTCTCTCACTGTCTCTCTCTCAAATAAATAAATAAAAAATCTTTAAAAAAAGAAAAAGAATTTATGTTAAACTCTGTTAAGTTATACATATAACGAAATGACATTTTGAAAATCATAAAGTCAAGTACAGTTGGCTCTGCCTTGGTACGTGCCATCATCGTTCTTCCAAAATTGGAAAAGTCTGTGTAACTGGTAAGTAGTTCTTACCAAAATCGTATGTGCTTTTTAGATGAATAAAGACTCATGATTTTTCCTCTAGAATCTGGTCAACCTGTAGTTCCATTGGACAGACAGTTTCTCATCCGGGAACTAAATGCATTTGAAGAATCAAAGGATAATACAATGTAAGAAGTTTTTTTTAAAATAAAGTTTTTAAAGATAAAAACTTAAAAATAAGTTTTTAGATATTGTTGTATTGGGAGTCATAATCACATAGTAGTGGTTTTGTTTCATTTTAATTGAGCAGGTGTTTATTTGGTTTGAGTGTGTGTCTGACACTGTACCAAATCCAAGGTGTGTAGCAATAAACAGGATAAGGCCTCTGTTCTCTGGAACTAAAATTCCTGTGGTTTCAGGGGACTGAGCATCTGTCTCACTAAGGGTCATTCTTCTTGGCTTATTGATGCATCCCTTTTTTCTTCTGAGGGTTTGCTCTCTCAGTTGTTTCTTCCTCAAGATGAACTCTTCCTCCTCATTGTTTCCTTCGCTTCAGCATAGGAATATACTCAGATCTCAAAAATACCGTTCACCTCGTTTTTACCACTGAACTTGGTGAAAACCAGCCACCTGCTTTCATTTTGTTACTCTCCCCCTTTGCCTTCTCTGCATATTAAATTCTTCCTTCACCATTTATGCTGAAACTATGCTCTTGAAAAGAAGTGTGACCGCTTTCTAGTAGTTTCTTAAATCTGTTCCTACCTCAAAGTTGCTTAAACTTTTTCCAGAGGATCCCTGAATGGCCAAAAAAATTGCACTAGGAGGCTCAAAGCAGCAGCCCCTCCCCCTCCCCCACCCCCAGGCACAAATTTCTTTGAAGTCTTATGTTTCTTTTGTTGTTGTTGTTGTTAACATTTTATTTATTTATTTGACAGACAGAGATCGCAAGTAGGCAGAGAGGCAAGTAGGCAGAGAGGCAGGCAGAGAGAGAGGGGAAAGGAGGCTCCCCGTTGAGCAGAGAGCCGGATGCGGGACTCGATCCCAGGACCCTGAAATCATGACCTGACCCGAAAACAGAGGCTTTAACGCACTGAGCCACCCCACTGAGCCACCCAGGTGCCCCTTATGTTTCCTTTCTAAAAATTTCTTGATTTTTTTTTTTGTTGTTGTTTCTGCTTCATGGTATAATTGTCTGTTTTACCATAAAAATGTTACAAATGACATACCACTTAAATTGAACTCTCCCACAAATCTTTGTGCAATTAATGTTCCAGTATCATATGCCACTTTTATCCTGTATTTTGTCCCAAGTCCCTGGCATCAAGAGTGGGTGTATATCTGCATTTCCAATCTGAGAAGCTCAGTTTTACTTTAGTTTCTGTAGCATTTTGTAATAGTGACTCTTCTCCCTTAAAATACTTTTTGTCATTTGTCTTTTATGAACCTTTACTGTCTAGGTTTTTCTATCCGTAACAGTGTTCTCAGTTTCTTCATTGTTCCTTTAGGGTTCTTTTAAATCCTGAGTACTCTCCAAGTTTTGTCCTTAACAAAATTTTTCTTCCTGTCCCCTTGCCCACTTTCCTAAGTATGCTTGAGTCTTTAATGATGCCTCCATGTTCGTGAGTCTGCTTTAAATCTGACAGATCAAAAAAAAAAAAAAACAAAACCCTGACAGATCCCACAAATTTACAGAGCCCCATTTCTGCTGGCATCTCAAACACAGTGTGTCCAAAAATTAAATGTGTTATTTTCACCTTCTTAAACCCCCTTGTAGGTTCCTCATATAGCCATTCGGGTCTTAAACTCAGAGTCCATGTACTTTTCTGGCTACTTTCCTCTCTCTATCAATCAGTCACTGCGGTTCTGTCACTTCTGCCTGGGCACTGTTCAGAAGCCTTCTGTCTGCTTTCTCTGTCTCTGGTCACTTTCTTTCCCAACTTACCTTCATATTGCCAACAGTTGGTTTTCTAAAAGGCAGTTACTGCTTTGTTTAAAACATTTTCATTGTAGGGCTGCCTGGGCGGGTTAGGCGGTTAAACCTCTGACTCTTAGTGTCAGCGCAGGTCTTGAGTTCAAGGCCACTGTTGGGCTCCACATCCATAAAAACCACAAAACAAACATCTCCATTGTAAAGTTTTCAGATTTTAAAAAAAGTAATACAGATTGTGTATTTGAAATTTGCTAAGAGAGTTCTCATCTATGAAAGTGTCACACACAAAGTAAATGGGTGAGGTGATGGGTGTGTTACTTAACTTGATAAGGGGAATTCCTTCGCTCTGTGTGTGTGTGTGTGTGTGTGTGTATCAAATCATCATGCTGTACGCTTTAAATACCATCCAGTTTTATTTCTCAATTACACCTCAATAAAGCCAGGGGAAAAAGTAATATAACAAGTAAAACAAATACTAGATTTATGTGCCGGTGTGAACATAAAGCGGCTCTCCATAAATACGCTGATATTTTTCAGCAAAACTTAAGAATTTTCACACAAAGTAGGATAAAGTCTAGAATAGCCTTAGTTAGGTCAAGCCATGCCACCAAATGAGTTTGTGCCAAACTTATGACGAAAACTAGTTTTCAGAGTTTTTGTGTTTCACCATTGCAAATAAGGTATGGTAAGGCTAAACTTAAAAAAATAAAAAAATTCTGGGATGCCTGGGTGCTCAGTTGGTTAGCGGCTGCCTTTGGCTCAGGTCATGATCCCAGCGTCCTGGGATTGAGTCCCACATCGGGCCCCTCCTCAGTGGGGTGCCTGCTTCTCCCTCTGCCTCTGCCTGCCACTCTGTCTGCCTGTGCTTGCTCTCTTTCTCTCTGACAAATAAATAAATAAAATCCTTAAGAAAAAAATTCTTTTTGTAAACTTTTATTTAGAAACATCCTAATGTCCATGAATTTGTGGATTAAATATGCTAGCTACATCTTTTCTAATAATATCTAAAAAATCTGTCTTAAATTTTTAAATCTTAAAACTTCATTGATGTTAATTTAAGAACAAAATTGTTTAAACTTAAAAACCTTAAACCAGTCAGCTCTTTGGAAACATGGGTTTTAAAATTAAACAGAAGATGGAGATTACATTCCTGGATATAAGAGGTACAATATAAGATCTATTCCTTTCCTAAGAGTTGAGGCATCTTAAATAGAGAAACTTCCTTTCCTGCTTTCCTGCTTGTCTGCGAAGTTGGCATGCAAGCAGTTAGTTATTGCTGCCTAACCCAGTGCCCCAGAATGTGGTGGCTTGAAACAACAATCATTTATTGTCTGTGGTTGGTCAGGAATCTGTGGGCGGTTCTGGGACTCTCTTTCTCAGGAGATCCCAGTTACTATGTAGCCAGGGAAGTCCTCATCTGAAGGCCAGGCTGGGGCTGCAGGCGCCCCTCCCGTGTGGCTCGCTCGCTAGGCTGCTTGCAGGTGGCCCCCATTCCTTCCCTGTGTACCTTTCCCTGGGACGGCTCGAGTGTCCTCATGACGTGGCAGCTGACTTCCCACAGAGTGAGTGGCCCAGAGAGAAGGCACGAAGGCAGCCACGGTATACAGTGCTTTATGACCTAGTCTTGGAAGTTGCACAGTGCTGTCACTTAATACCTTATTTGGTTCATAGAAGTGTCTTGAGCCCGCACTCCAGGGGAGGGCAGTTAGGCTCCACCTTTTGAAGGGAACGGAATGTCATACTTTAAACTATCACATCAGCTAATAAATAGATAGCTCAAAAAAAAAAAAAATCAGTGAAATTGTATTTTCAGTCGTGAGATTAGAAATGAAAACATTTCTGCTGTACCTCTCCTCATTGTTAGCAAGTAGCTTCCCTTTGTGCCAGGGTACTAGTAGAGATCACCAGGCAGAATATTGTCATGAAAAGAATATAAAGTTTGTTTACTTATGGAGGAATCTCTAGCATATCTTCCCTGAGCTGTGGTGGGATGATCACAAGACAAGGATAACCTGGAGAAAGGTTAGACTGTTTCGTAAACTGTAAAAGCAGCTTTTTTTTTTAAACCTGCCCTCCCTCCCTAAAAATAGCTTATTAAATATTAGTTCTTACTTAACTCCTGAATAGCTAACATTTATATACCATTTAATTTGTGCCAGGCACAGTTTTAAAAAGTTGATATTTATTAACCTATTTACTCCACAGCAACCCTGGGAGGTGAGGGGTACACTTATCTTTATTTATAGGGGAAGAAATACGTATCAGGGCAGGGACATAAAAAATCTTGTTGAGGTCAATTGGTGAAGCCAGGATTTGAACCCAGGCAGTCTGCTTTTTGGGACATCCGACCTTCTTTAGGCAAGGATTTATTCACCCAGTAAGCGTTCACTGACTCCTTGTTGTATATCAGACCGTGCCAGGCACTGGGAAATCTCACGCCAGACTTGAAAGGCAGAATCCCTCTGTGTTGATGGATGATGTTGTATTTCAGTTTAGGTGATGTTTGAGTTGTTAACATAGGTTCTCTGGGTTTTAAGTTGTTTTTCGAGTTCAGTGTACTCTTAAATTTTAAAAAGCATGAATAGTTTGCGATTTGGATAGTAACTGTGTGTCTTGTTTCAAATCTGGAGAATTGCCTGGCCCTTTTGGTGGCAGAGGCTGCCTTAAATCTGCAATTTTAATTGATTTTGGTTTTCTTCCTGCTACAGACCTCTTTTATATGGAATTTTAGCTCATTTCTTGGATGGAACTAAGGATGACCTCCAAAATCCATTTCTGAGAGGGTCTTCACTTCAGCCTTCAAATCCAAATCTTGGCGAACAACCTAGCAGAAGAAAGCACAAGGGTATGAATTTCCTGGGATTCATCATTTAACTGTTAGCAAGTATTTTTTCTCTTTTTTTGTTTTTTAAATTATTTTAAAAGATTTTATTTTAAAGTCCTGTCCATACCCAATGTGGGGCTCAAACTCAAAATCCCTAGATTAAAAAAGTTCCATCCTCCACTGCCAGCCAGCCAGGTGCCCCAAGTGTTTGTTTTTTTTCTTCTTAATATTTTTCTCTTGGGGCGTCTGGGTGGCCTAGTCAGTTAAGCGTCTAACTTTGGCTCAGGTTATGATCCCAGGGGTCTTGGGATCGAGCCCTCTGTGGGGCTCTGCTCAGTGGGGACCCTGCTTCTCTCCCTCTGCCTGCTGCTCTGCCTCCTTGTGTGCTCTCTCTGTCAAATAAATAAATAAAACCTTTAAAAAAATTTTTTTTCCTCTCGCAAATAGTTTTTCCCGAGATTGTGAGTCATAGTTTAATTCTACTTATATCTAATATGGTTGAAGTCTGTGTTACTGATGCTCCAAAAAGCAAAATGGTGTTTGGAAAGGGAATCTTGAGGGGATGGGAGAATAACTGGACAAAATTTTTAGATATTGGGGCGCTTGGGTGGCTCAGTGGGTTAAAGCCTCTGCCTTTAGCTCAGGTCATGATCCCGGGGTCCTGGGATCAAGCCCTGCATCGGGCTGTCTGCTCAGCGGGGAGCCTGCTTCCCTTCCTCTCTCTCTGCCTGCCTCTCTGCCTACTTGTGATCTCTCTCTCTGTCAAATAAATAAATAAAATCTTAAAAAAAAATTTTTTTTTTAGATATTGTTTCAGTGCCAAACCATGGAAAAACCTGATTTTTTTTCACATAGATTTGTATTCTTTGGAACAACTTAGATCATTGGCATACTCAATAAATAGATTTTTCTCAAATCATCACTTTTTTCCCCCCTCCAAGACTGAAGAAAGGCAAGATTGCTGAATATAGATAGGGACGTCACAAGTGTCTATATCCTTTGTATTTTTAGGATACTGTTGGTGGAGGACTGGTATTACCTACAGATAAGATACTTGAATGGCCTCTATTTCTTTCAGAATGTTTACTCTTTATTATTATTTTTTTTTAAGATTTTACTTATTTATTTATTTGACAGACAGAGATCACAAGTAGGCAGAGAGGCAGGCAGAGAGAGAGGAGGAAGCAGGCTCCCCGCGGAGCAGAGAGCCCGATGCGGGGCTCGATCCCAGGACCCTGGGATCATGACCTGAGCCGAAGGCAGAGGCTTTAACCCACTGAGCCACCCAGGCGCCCCAGAATGTTTACTCTTTAAATGTGCTTTCAGTTGTTACCACATCAACAATAGGACCTCACTTTGATCATCTGAACTGAATGGTTTATAGCTCTTTCTTTCCAACCTCAGTAGAGTTGGTCTCTTTCTAAGGGCAGTCAGAGGTGGGCCTCAAGCAGCAGATGAGGAGAACAGATCAAAATCTTGAATGTTGAAATAACCTTCTAAGAAACATCTAAAATACTAGTTATCCTTCATAGTTTATCGTAAGCTGCTGTGAGCAGTATTAATTCCGTTAAATATTTGCTGCGTCTCCTAGGATCTGAACACGAAGTGTTTGTGAAGCAAGGTGACCTCTTTTGTGGGTTATTTCTGATGTCACTAGGAGTTACTCATCTATGTATCTTAGACTGCTGAGCTGATGGACCATTGAAAAAGAAATCACCCCACCTCCTTACTTTACAGTTGAGAAAACCAGGACTGAGAGATTAAGTGAGTCCTGTAAAGCACGCGGCTGATCCGTTCTCGCAGGATCAGGACCTCTGAGTGCCATTCCTGTACACTTCTCCACTTAAAGAATGTAAAGAAGTTTTCCTAGTTCCCTTTGCAAGGCTTGGTAAGGAACTGTCATTAGTGCCTACTATTTGACAAGTACTTAAAAAGCGAAACAAAATGCACAAGGGGACAAGTAAATCTATAAGCATTCAAATAATCTACAAATCAAATTCCCTTGAATCTCTTCCCTTTTGTCTCTCCCTAACTCCCTGATCTCCCTGCCTTCTGTGGAAGGTCCCTATTAGCAGCTTGGGGGCAGAGGTCTCCTTCCAGAGTCATTTCTGTGCCTGTAAATTTGTATGTACCGCTACTTGACATGTTACCCTGAGATTGGGTTTGTTTTCCCTTGTCTTGTCAGTATCTTAACTTTATGTAGTATTGTATAGTATTGCTGATCATCCCTTACTGATGGACTTTTATGTTTTTACGTTTTTGCTATTACTATATTGCAATACAGAATTACTTCTTTGTCTGTGCAAGTATTTCTCTTGTGTGGACGCCTAGAAGTACAGTTGTGGTTCCAAGTGTACACATATTAAAAAAACATAGTAGAAGTTGTCTAATCCCCCTCCAAAAAGGCTTTACCTACCAAGGATATATGATAATACTAGTTTCTGTGTTTAATTGCCACCAGGGGATATTGTACACGTGAACGCTGGCTAAGACAGCAAACCCGTGACATGGATACTTTCAGTCCCATAAGGAAAAATAACCTCTTGAGCAATCACTTTTCTGGCTTGTAAACTTTTTATTTTTTTATTTTTTTAAAGATTTTATTTATTTATTTGACAGAGCTCACAAGTAGGCAGAGGGGCAGGCAGAGAGAGATGGGGAAGCAGGCTCCCTGCTGAGCGGAGAGCCTGATGCGGGGCTTAATCCCAGGACTCTGGGATCCTGCCTGAGCTGAAGGCAGAGGCTTAACCCACTGAGCCACCCAGGAGCCCCTAAACTTTTTATTTTTACTTCTTGATTTATTTTCAGGTGTACAATACAGTAATTCCACGCTTTTATACAACACCCCTGTGCTCATCACCGCGAGTGTCTTCCTTAATCCCTGTTGCGTGGGAACCATCAGTGTATTCTCTAGAGTTAAGAGTGTCTTTTTTTTTTTTTTTAAGATTTTATTTATTTATTTGACAGAGATCACAAGCAGGCAGAGAGAGAGGGGGAAGCAGGCTCCCCGCCGAGCAGAGAGCCCGATGCAGGGCTCGATCCCAGGACCCCAAGATCACGACCTGAGCCGAAGGCAGAGGCTCAACCCACAGAGTCACCCAAGCACCTCAAGAGTGTCTTTTTGGGTGGTCTTTTTTCTTCCTTTGCTCATTTGTTTTGTTTCTTAAATTCCACATATGAGTGACGTCATTGGTGTTTATCTTTCTCTGACTGACTTCGCTTGGCATGATACTCTAGCTGCATCCATGTCACTGCGTGGCTTGTAAGCTTGTCATAATCCATCTCAGTGATGACGAATGACTAAGAAGAAAGGCACACGTCACGGAGTATTTCTTAACCCGGTTCTGTTCTTTTGAGACGTGGGTCACGATAGCTGGTGGTAGCTTTATACCACGGAGATGGGGGCTGGAGAGCGTTGGGGGAGGGCAGAGGCACACTAGCTGCTTTGGGGCCCTCAGAGCCCTCAGAGAGGTCCAAGTCAGTTGAGCTTGGGGCTCGTGTTCTGTGGAAAGCTCTGTGGCAGGCTCGGAGGTGAGGACGGCTGAACTAATAGGAGAACAGGGATCTTGCAAATTATTTTTCTTGACCATCAGAAATTTTCTTGATAAAGGTGAACTCTTTGTGCAATGATTTGTGAAGAATTAGCAGCCACGAATGGCATTTTTGTCCCAGTAACACATGTCAGCATTTACTTTCAGCGTCTCCTTTTTCAATTCTAGCTTACTGTTTGATAGAAACATGTTTTATTTGACAACATGGGAAGGTTATGAAAATTTAAAAATATTATTACTCAGATTATAATACCTGATCCCTACAGAAGCTCATCTGACGTAGAACACACTCGATGAAATTGTCCGTGTGTGAACACAAGTCTAAAAGCAGGCCAACATGAGAGCTCTCATGTCACAGCTCCCAAAGAGCTGGAAGAAAGGAACAGGGTTTTTTTTAAATTTTTTTTTTAAAGATTTTTATTTATTTGACAGAGAGGGAGATCACAAGTAGGCAGAGAGGCAGGCAGAGAGAGAGGGGGAAGCAGGCTCCCTGCTGAGTGGAGAGCCCTAGGTGGGGGCTCAATCCCAGAACCCTGGGATCATGACCCGAGCCAAAGGCAGAGGCTTAACCCACTGAGGCACCCAGGCGCCCTATTAACAGGGTTTGTGTAGACACACTCGCCTCTGGGATGGTGACCAGTTCATCAGGGCTGCTGATGTCTGTGCTTGAACACTGGAGGCGGAGCAGGTTCTTAATATAAGTGAAAGACCAGAAATCTAACAGAGAAAATCATTAGCATCGCAACTTTACCGCACGTCTGTGAAGTGCATGCATCACATACTTCTTAGTAATGCTTTTCTAGAAAACCTGAAACGTCTGTGGCCTCAGGATATTGTTAACTTTGTTTTGTCCAGCAAAGCTGCCTGAAAATGAGGGAGACAGTCCTCCATGATCCAGACCTACAGTCTCCAGTCCTTGTGAGGATGATCAGCCGCTGGGGACTAGCAGGCCTGGGTGTAGAATCAGGTTGTCTTCAGAATTAGAAAATCCAGGTTGCGTTTTTGGTGCTAAAATCCATGTTTCTAACAACTGTCTCAATTTGTATTCTTTTTCTCCTGTCATCAAAATCATAAAAATGGGTTTTTCCCGTGTAAAAGTATCTAAGGAATATTTTCAGTTTTTCACAGCTTTTTAGAATTTAGTCTTTGCCTTGCATTTTTGTTGCATTTGGATGTTAAGTCTCTTCAGGTTCTTTAAATCCAGGGCACTTCTGCCCTCTACCCCTTCTCCCCATGACAAAAATTGAGCAGAAGTGACTAGGACCCCTTTGATTGCCAGAGCACAGGGGATGGTCACAGGGCCTCTGGTCGCTTCTGAATTCTCATGGAGCTTTATTCTCGTGTCTTTGGCTGCAGAAGATTTCTACAATTTCTTGGATATTTTCTGATGTGGGTAGGAAAATGTAAACTCTGCTAGTTTTTTTCTTGCCACAAGAGGGTGCTGCTGAGAAGCACTGCTATTTGAAGGTGGGTTTTTTTGTACTTTGTTTTTTTCTTTTTAGTTGAAGAAGTTTGGCATCCCTCAAAATGTTAATAGAACACCCTGTCCTTTCAGATTCCATTCCTTACATATCATGTAAGAGAAGTTTGTAACTGCTCCTTACACACGGGTTTACGCCGCAGTGCTCTCTATTCCCTTAAAAACACTTGATAGTGAATCTTCAGTACTAAATGTTTCTGATTTCTTTAACAATGCTTTTAAAATGGTGAGTTTATTTTGTTGTCCTAAGCCACCTAAAGAACGCATACAATAGTAAAAACATAACATCTGAAAATACATGCAGCTACGTCTGCACACTGCCTACTTTGACTTGGGGTAAGTATTGACATTGTTTTCTGTTCATTTCAGGTGACCACCTAAGAACGGAGAAGGGGAGTAGTCCTAACATCAAAGATCATCTTGTTTCTCAAGCAGTGAAGAGATGACATTTCCATTCGGGGCATCTTTTGTCTTAAAATTGTGTGTATCAAGTAACATATTTACTCTCCCAACATTACCAAAATACACCACTAATATTTGTCCTTTGTAGAAATTTGAGTTTCTGCAAAAACATTTAGCCCTTCCTGTTTTACTACATTTGTGAATAAAAGCTAACTCCGTCATCTAGCTTCCTAGATTTGACTCAAAGAAAATACGTTGTTTTTAGAAGGTATTTTGAAGGTTTTTTAAATTTGTGAGAACTGGAAGAAATTTTTAGTACCCCGTATATTCTTAAAAAAAAAAAAAATTCAGGTCTTTATAGCCATTTGTTCTGCTCTTTAACAAGGTTACATGAAATTTCCTTCAGGCTGGAATTACGTGGATTTGTAGAAAAATCCATTTGTGTTTTTAAAAAAAACATTTTAAAAAACATTGAAGCCTGATAAAATGAATTCCTATGAAGTTCAGTTTTTTGTTTACAATTAGCAGTTTTTCAGATAACCATTTATAATTTGGTTTAAATATCTGAATTACTATCCAAATCTCAACTTTTAAACTAGGTAACAATGTGCTTTTTCTTTCCTTAGACCATTTTGGCTTCTACTGGAAGATTTAATTAAAAGGTAGAGGGGGAAATAATTCTTTTAATTTTGCTGTAAGTCAAACAAAGAGTTTATTTTATTATATAAAGAATGTGGAATAAGCATGAAGAGACAGGCTTTAGGAGAAATACCAGAAAGCACCTTTTAAAAGATGGCATTGTTTAACCTCCATGCAGCCCTCAGTTGTGCAATCACAAGATGAGCTCCGAAAAAGCCAGTCCCTGGTTACCTGGACTCACTGCATGTCAGTTTTTTATTCTTGGGTTAGAAAAATGGTAAGAGCTCTTCCTGTGCTATGTCTAAAATGCTATTTTGATATTTACGAAGACGTTTTTATAACGTGGAGGCTGCAGACTGATGTCACTGAGGACAGCTGTGATGATTGGCAGAAGTCATAAAGTATAATCCAACAGAACAGCACAGACGCCCACATACCAATGACATTGAGCTTGAATGTTTTCCACAGGACAAGGGCGAAGGGCTGTAGATGGCAAAATTGGCCTTCTCTTCAGGGTGTTTACTCGGTGCTGTCTTTTCAAAGTTTTGAGTTTCTCTTTGGTGTTGGTAAGTGTTCAGTCCTTACAGATGAACAAAGAATTTTTATCTGAATGCAGAAAATTATTAAAGAAATCCCCTTAAGCCATACTTTGCAAGTGAGAGGATTCTGAGAGGCCCTGTTGATGAGCTAGGATTACAGAAGAGATATACTCTTGGGGCTCATTTCCATTTTTCAAATCAAATCTGTAGTATCTGGTAACAATTAGGAATCCCGTTGTATTGTATGTGGGAATATAAATGTCTGAATTCTTTTCAGAGGACTTGGTTTACATCCAAGGATGTTGGCTGTGGACACTAAGTTTACCTCAGGAATTACAATCATGCAGGACTAGATTAAGAAAAAATGCTGGAGTTTATAATTTTGGTTACTGATAGAAAATCGTCACAATATAAACTAAACAGAATTGTCCCATATAGTTCATAGTGTGTTTGTATGCATTGTTGTGTAACTTGTTTGAACCTAGGCAACTTTTATACTTTCAATGTATTACTTAATAAAAAAACAATTAAGCAACTCTTTTTTGTGCAAAGGATGTTCCTATGACTTCTTTCATTAAGAGCTGGGCACCAGGACGGGAAGAAGATTGGGAGTGGCTCCCAAGGCCTTCCTTCAGGATCTCCTGCGGCCTAGTAGTTGGAGGATGTAGAGTGAGATGGAGGGAGGAGAACTTCCCCTGGTGTATTCCGGGCATTAGCCACATCACCCTGCAACACTTTTCATCCAGGAGCCTCATGATGTCAGTCTCGGGGGGGAACGGTATTATAACCTGGGGGGCCATGTAGGTGTTCAAAAAAGCATATTTAGTAGTATGTTTTTATATTTGCAAAAAGGAAAACGACCTATTTTCAACACACTCAGATTTTTGAGATTTCCACAAAAGACCTTAGGTTGAAAAATCTGCTCTAGAAATTTTTATATTCAGGATTTTTGAACGGTGTCAATTCATTTATAAGCCAGTCATTGAAAAAGGTACACTGGCTGAGACATTAAAGAAAAAAACAACTGAGTTGGAGAAACTGAGGGAAAGACAAGACAAATATAACTATTCTCCTACCTCATAAACTGAATCAGTGCATCATTGCTGGTGCTTTTCATGGGGTTGTTGGGAGAAATTCTCCTCCAGAAATAGGGAGAAGTTTTAGGAGATTTGGATATACAGAAAAATAGGATGGGAATTGAGGCTGAAGAGAGGTTTAGGAAAAGTGGAAATACAAAACTTGGGCAGTCCAAAAACCCAGCAGGAGCAGAGGTGGTGTTTGAAGATGATAAATTTAGCTTAGCATATATGTTTGCACAGAGTAAACTGATAGCTTTATAATTATGTGCAAGAACGCAGTTGTATGACTCACATGCCTGTATGATTATATAAGACTTGATGTGTTCTTTTAACCTAAAGCCAAGTGTACATGAAGGATTAACATTGTGAGAATATGCCTTTAAAGGCATTTGAGACAATGCTTCCCAGCCACTTGGTATTTGACTTTCGTTAACCATTCTGCAAGGATCGTGTGGTCTTTGTTCACTTTTTTTTTTTTTTAAATGAAAGGTGAAACTACCTTTTTTTAAAAAAAAAACTTTTTTTTTTTTTTTTAAGATTTTGAGAGAGAGAGAAAGCGAGCAAGGAAGAGGCAGAGGGAGAAGCAGACTCCCTGCTGAGCAGGGACCCCTACTCTAGGCTCAATCCAGGACCTTGGGATCATGATCTGATATGAAGGCAGACGCTTGACTGACTGAGCCACCCAGGCATCCCCCCAAAATAGACTTTACTTTCGAGAGCAAGCTCAGGTTCATAGCAAAGTTGAGTATAATTATATATTATAATATTATAATATTATAGAGTTTCTATATACCTCATATCCACCCCCCTCACTCATGTCACCCCTGCCCCCACAACCCCTACCCCCGCAGGGAGTGTCAACATTTGTTCCAATGGGTGGACCTGTGCGGACACATTATCACAGTCCATAGTTCACATCGGCGTTCATTTTTGGTGCTGTTCGTTCTGTGCATCTGAACAAATGTGTGATGATAGCTATCCACCATTCTAGTACCACGCAGTATTTTCACTGCCCTATAATCCCTGAGTTCTCTCCGTTCATCCCTCCAGCCCCCCAACCCCTGGCAACCACAGATCTTGTAACTGCCTTTCCCAGAATGTTATATAGTTGGAGTCCTACAGGATGTGGTCTCTTCAGACTGGCTTCTTTCCCTTGGTAATATGCACCTAAGATCCCTCCACGTCTTTTCATGGCTCGAGAGCTCGTTTGTTTCAACACCAAAAAATATTCCATCACGTTAGTGTACCAGATTGTCCTTTCACTGCTGAATAGCTGCTTGGTTGCTCCCAAGCTTTGACAATTACGATAAAGCTGCTTTAAACATCCCAAGTGCAGGCTTCAGCATGGACTCAAGCTTTTAACTCATTTGGGTAAATCCTAAGGAGTATGATTTGCTGGTTCATATGTGAAGAACATATTTTGTTTTGTAAAACACTGTAGAACTACTTTGAGAATTTTAGGACCCTTCCTTTTTTTAATATATATATATATATATATATATATATATATATATATATATTTAATTTATTTATTTGACAGACAGAGATCACAAGTAGGCAGAGAGATAGGCAGAGAGGGAGGGGGGAAGCAGGCTCCCCCTGAGCAGAGAGCCTGATGCAGGTAGATCCCAGGACCCTGAACTGAGATCATGACCCAAGCCAAAGGCAGAGGCTTAACCCGCTGAACCACCCAGGCGCCCTTTAGGACCTTCCTAATGGAGGGTAGAGAATCTGGAGTTACCAAGACACCAGAATCGGAAAGGGATGAAGGAGAGAGCATTGCAGGTCTGTCTGCCATGCAGTCTTGTCCTAGAGAAGTGTGGAGCCAACACGAGTGAAACAGAAGGGGCTTTGTGCAAGAGATAGAGGCGAGCTGGGCTTGTGGCCAGGAATGATGTCCATTCACAAGAAGGCACAGTGCTGTGTAACTCTTGGGCTGGAGGACTTGAGTGCTGGTACACTATTAAATAATGAGATTGTGAAGTACATGCAGGAGTAAATCATCTTTGGATCCAATCAGTGATATTATTAAAAACTGGAGGGAATCACATTTTGGAGCTTTTTGAAACCAATAGCAAATACAAATCTATTTGATAAAGAGGGAAAGACTCCAAGCGAGAAATTTCCCCTCTGCCATCTTGTTTCATGAGTTCATGGAAACTCCCAGTACACAGCACCCCACAAAGAAGACAAGCCCAGGAAATTTACTGGACAGCTCTTGAAGTAACACTTTTTTTAAAGTATGCTTTTCCCCCTTGATCTTAAAATAACTGGCTTTTTGAGCCATGAGAAATAAAACAGGCATTTGACTTCATTATTGTAACAATGCGCTTTTGAAGATTCAAACATCTGAGCTTCCGCGTTGGACAGATATTTAATGAATGACTGTTATGTACACATACTGTCCCTGAACATGCGTAGACTGTACCAGAAAGGTATGAAATACCTTATATAAGGCCTTCACATGCTTCGTCATATTTAACAACCCAGTAAGGTAGTTGAGGTAAAGATTCTGTCCATCTGCGTTCCTCCTCGAGAAGACGGAGTCTCAGTTCACCGACTGTCCTGTGACTTCTGGCCTGTTGCCTCAAAGATCAAGCGTAACCTCCCATCTACTTAACATGGACTCGATCAGACATGGGGAGTTGGAATTCCTGCTCCAGCACTAATTAGCTATTCTAGTTACTTAATTCACCAGCCTGTTACTTAATTGGCTTGTCACTTAATTCACCAGCCTGGTTTGTCAACAGCAAAATGGGAAAAAAAAATTTTTTTTAAGTACTTGCTTCCTAGGGTTGTTACATGGAAGAGGAGAGAGAATGCAGAAAAATTCAGTGTTGTTGTTTTTTAAATAAGCCCTCCGTTTATTAATAATTGCTTATAGGGATTCTCTTTTAAAATTTACCAACAAATTCTTTAAGGAATCAAATGCAAAACCCCTTTGAAGTACCAGTGTTAAGGTCTCCAGTAAAGATGCCAGCTCTCACTTTGAGGCCAGCAAGTTCGATTGTGACAGGCTGCTCTGGGTTCGTTCCAGGACAGGAAGGTGGTGGTCAACTTCACTCTTCCCTTTCCATCACACCCTCCGCTCCGCACCCTGTCCATACCAGCCAACGCAGGCGCAATTTCCACTCCTTTTACAGTGTAGACAGTAAAAGGCACGTGGAGAAGCAGCTTATCCATCATTTTCTGAAGATCTTTACCCCAGGCTGTGCAGTCAGCTGAACCCTGGCAGATCTGATTTAGGGCACTTGCGTGTTTTCAGGGGTGAGAAAGCAGGAGAGCCTGACGTTGGAAGCATGAGGAAGTGACCAAGAGGGTCTGAGACGCTGAGCCCTGCGGTGGGCACCCTGCAGGAGGGATAGGCTCTCACTTGCCGTCACACACCCAAGGCCTGTGCCAACCTACTTGGTTTCAAGTTTGTTGAGAATAATAACAACTACCAGGAAACAGGACCATATGTTCATTTTACATGGATCATCTTAAGGACTGCTTACAAACATCCAGGTAGGGAAACTGAGTCACAGAGCCTTTAAAGGACTGGCCCATGGTGGGACAGCTAGAAAGCTGCACTTGCCACCAGCCTCAGAGAATTCAGCCCGAGAAGGCATTTCCCTTTAAAATCTCTTTGGAAGTAAATCCTGGCAATGATGGGCTCCAGTCCCAGCGAGAGCCTGGGCAAATCTCTGCACACCTCTAGGACCTCAGTTTTCTCACCTGCAAAGTGTTTTTTTTTTTTTTTTTAAAGATGTTATTTATTTATTTGACAGATCACAAGTAGGCAGAGAGGCGGGCAGAGAGAGAGGAGGAAGCAGGCTCCCTGCTGAGCAGAGAGCCCGATGTAGGGCTCGATCCCAGGACTCTGGGATCATGACCTCAGCCGAAGGCAGAGGCTTTAACCCACTGAGCCACCCAGGCGCCCCAAAATGGGGGTATTAATACAGGCCCACGCCCCCCCCCCCCCAATCTGATCTGGTTACCAGGGGAGGGGTTGTGGACCAAGGGTACAGAGCCTGGCAGGGGTCTTCCCACCGCCTCTGACCCTCTCCCCAAATCCTCTGGCCACCGGGAGTAGCTGGAGCCCGCGTGGGCCTGGGGGGCTGTCCCCGCGCGGCGCTGTCGCGGCCATGGGAGGCAGGGCCCCCTCCTCCGCGCCCGCCGCGCCGGGAGGCCGCTCGGCACCATATTTAGTCAGGGGGAGCGGGCAGCCCCGGGCTGGTATGCGGCGCTGGGAATTCCTGCAGGAAGGAGCCCGCGCCTGCCCTTTTTGGGTTGTCGCCCGCCCTGCGCCCCCCGCCGCGCCCCGGGAGGGAGGACCGGCCCGGGAAGCCGGAGCCCGTGCGGGGCGGGGAGCGGGGCGCGCGGGTCCCCGGCCTGGCGCGGGGCCAGCCCACCGCCTGGGCTTCCTTTTATGGCCTGTGTGCGTGCGGGCAGCAGAGACCAGGGAGAAGACGGA